ACTACCTTGCTTTCCTCTTTACGGCAACCCTAGCCTCAGTTGCCAAGTCATGTGTGATATTCATCTGATGCAATTTTCTGTCCCATCTGACGTAGCCTCTTCTCCCCAGTCTTAGTGGTTGTCCTTCAAGATGGAACAAGAGGTGACTCTAGTGTCAAATAGAAATCCAAGCTTTTGTCTGTATTATACTCTGACAGAATTTGTGCTCAAATGAGACAGAATCAATGTAGATTGGAAAGGAGTGTTTTGGTTTGATCAGGAGGAAAGGAGGGCAGAACGTTGGTCATAGAGTAGTGGTTCTCCACCTTTGGGCTACACTTAGGTGGGACAAAGACCTAGTGGGTTAGAAATACCATGTATTCCAACCTTTTAGGGGGATTTACTTCATATCTGAGAGTTTCGCATCATTGCCAAGTGTTGTGCAGCAGCCAGACTGCTTAGTACAAAATAGAAGTTTTTCCATCCATTTTAATAATGCATTCATGCATACCAAATTTTAGCAAGCTTCAATGACACACTCACACTTCGAAGTGACAGTTAAATTAATTTCTGTCATACAGAAACATCAGAATCTGTGAGATTGCCTGTATGCCACTCATACAAACCAAGGGCAGGGGGGATATGCATTTTTTTCAGATCAGTTCACAATCCTCAAAAGACTGTAGATCATAGTTGGAGAATCACTAACGTGAAGGGTGGTTCCTAGCTGTTGTGAAGTAGAAAGATGTCAGAAAATCCCAAACCTAGTTTTGACTGTGTCCCTTTCCAAGTATGTAATCTTGGCCATGTTCCTTAAACTTTCTGAGCTTTATCTGGCTCCTCTATGAAGTGAGGCTAACATCTTCTGTATTGTAGGTTATAAGATTAGATACAGCATCTGTGAACTAGAGAGCCTTGATGTAATTATTAGAATGTTTATTAGGGCTAAGCTCAGAGAAGACAGATTTACTTGAAGCTTGGGGAATGTAATTGCTCTAAGAACAGAGCTCCCAGCGGGAAGGGTTGTTGGGAGAGGTTGCTGAAAAAGAACAGAAGCCTATTTTTTGGTGTTATGTGAGATGAGGAGGGTGCCCACCCTTGGGTGAGTACTGGTATTCAGGCTTCTGTCTCTCTAGATCTTTTCTGGTTATGTGTGACTTCCATTCCATTCTCCAGTCTTCCATTTTGAATCCAAAAGCAGAAGTCCTTACAGTGGCCTACAAGCTACCCTCTCCCCATCCCATCATCAATCTGACCTCATTTTCACATTGTCTCCCCAGCACTCCCTCCCTCCCTCCAGCCTCACACCCCAGCCAGCACCATGTCCCCTCTGCCTGGAAGTGCTCTTCTTCCAGATGTTTGCATGGCTCACTTTACCACCTCCTGGGGTCTCTGCTCAACTGTCACCTTTCCAGTGAAGCCTTCTGTGGCTCTTCCATTTAAAACTGCACACTGGTCCCTACTACTGGTCCTCTTTATTCTCCTTCCTGGCTTTATTTTTCTTTGCAGGGCTTATTACCACCCTAACATACTGTATATTTTATTTATTTATTTAGCTTACAATCTGTGTTTTGCCAGTAGAAGATAAGCTCTGATATGGCATAATTTCTGCCTGTTTTGTTGATGTGGATTCCCTGGCACCCAGAGTAGTGCCTGGCACATAGTGGCAGTGACCTGTGACAGGTTGCAAAGCCAGGACTCAGGCTTGGCTCTGTAGGTTCCCAGCTTCCTCCCATTTTTCTTTTGCTTTATAGCACAGTGGGCGTTTTCCTCTGATTCATTCATTCCTCTATTTATTCGTTCACTCATTCAACAAATATTTTTTTGGTGCTTTCAATGTATTTGTAGATGCAGAAAGAAACAACTCAAAGTCCTTTTTCCCTCAGAGCAAGAGAAACAGACAGTAAAGGAGCCTACAGAGTTTCAGGTGGACATGAGGGCTATAAATAAAGGAGGGAAAGGGGTCTTCACAGTGACATGAGGTGTTAAGGAAAGAACTCACTGTAAGTAACATTTGAGTAGAGACCTGGAGGAGGGGAGGGAGAAAACCGTGTGAGTCCCTGGGAGAAAATGGCTCCAGGTGGAGGGCCTGCAGGTGCAAAGGCTCCGTTCTGGGAAATGCTCACTAGGAGCGAGAGGGAATGCCAGATGCCAGGTCAAGGGCTAGCGGATCTGGAGGAATGGGAAGGTCATCTCTTAGAATCTGGGAAACATGTTGATGAGCCCAGAATTATGCAAACTCCTTTTCCTGAGGGAAAGGGTGATGCTCTGATCATCATCTGGACCTTTCTGTATTTAGGGACCCTAGGTCTCCAGGGGTGTAATGTGAGAGATGAGCCTCACCTGGCTCCTCCTGGGGAAGGGGGATGCTGCTTTGTGTAACTGGTTTTGGTGAGGGTTAAGAAATTCTTCCTTGGTGAGGGGGCAATGGGGATGGCACTGGAAGGGAAGTGGCATAACTGTTTTTCTGATTCAGCTTGAAAAGGAGCTCACTAGAGGCCTGAGGCAGAGGCTGGGTCAGGCAGGAAAACCTCCACACATGCCCCAGTCTAGCTGCAGCCCTGACGGAAGAGCAGAGTTCTCACGAGCACAGATTCTAGCATCAAGCAGGTGATTCAAATGATGACTTTACTAAACTATGTGAGCTTGAGAAACTCCTTCAAGATTCCGTTTTCTGATCCCTAAAAGGCAAGTCATGGTACCTCAATTCTATGTGATCGTCGTGAGGACTGAGTGAAATGACATTCCTTGAAGGACTTAGTGCAGTGGCCTAATAAATGGTAGGTACTCAAAAAGTGGTAGTTATAGAATTACGACATATAATAATAGATTGTATTTAAAGTCCACCTCATGGCCCACTTCCATGCGGATGTTCCCAACGACCATACCTCCTTTCCCCGCCGCCGCTGTTGTTACCGCAGGAGTATACATTCCTTCATAGCATTGCTTTATCCCATGGTGTTTTGTCCTGTTCTCTGTTCTGTTTTATGAAGCTAAGTGGTCTCTCCAGGTTTACTCTATCCAGAGGACTAAAGTGTGGGATCTACAACTGTGGGTTTGTATAGACCTATTCTGTTAGTTTTGTGCTACCCAGCAGCTCCATAAGTGAAACTTGAAAGAAGCTCCTGAGGAAAAAAAGCATCAAAAGACTTCCGAGAAGATAAAGGCCCTGGGTTTGCAGTGCTGTCTCTAATCCAATATTGGTTGCCTAAAAATAGAAGGCATCATTTAAAGATCTTCTAGGTCCTGCCCACTCTGGATGCCCCTTATCTTTTCACTTCAAAGGCTGATGGAATGAACCAAAATGAAGTTCAGCGTTTCCCAAACTTCAATTAATCACATCTACCCCCCTTTTTTCGGTCATAAAAATCACTCACTTTTAAACTTAAAATATAATTAAAAGGAAACGAAATCACATGGGTTGATAGCCTAGTTGCGCTATTCTGATATCCATTAAAAGAGCCATTCAAATAAAAAGAATGTCTTTTCATGTGCCATCTGAAATTATGTGCTATGCACTCCTCACTTAGGGAAACACTGGACCAAGTAAATGGGTAAACAGAGGAACTTAATTCATTAGGAAAAACTTGGTAAACAAAGGGAAATTAGGATAATCAGTCTTTAGCTTTGTTGGAAATGTGGATAAACTTATTTTAGTGAGAATTTTAAGGATAATGAGGTCTAAAGGCAAGGGCCTGAATTAGTTAAAATTTCAAAATCAAAAAAACTCGGAATGTCTCTGCACTGACTTCACTAGCATAGCTTTTGGTGTCTCTCTGATGGCAGGGCCCCTGCCTCTTTTCTCCCTGTAGTGTGTGAGGTCTGGGGATGCTCATGTCTGTCCTTTTCTTTCCTTAGCCTCCTTCTCTTTATATACCTGGAACTGCCCTGTCCCCAGTCGATCTCTGAGAGGAGCCCAACATCACCATCCTACCTCTCTGGAGTCTTCTTTTACCATGAAACACCTAAGCTGAGCACCAAAGTCCCGGGGAATGGTACGCTGTTTCTCTTCTAGTAGCTGGTTAGGCTGATTTGGGACCACTGACCCCTATTGCGATACTTCCTTAGGACCTTTGAAATCGGTTTTGTATTGGTTTATTACATTTTGTGACTTAAGATGAATATGTACTATCTAACTGGAAGCTGTTGCCAGGTGGAGACCACTGTCTTTTTATTTTATTTTTTAGCAAGACACAGTTGAATTCAAATGTCACTGAAAGGATACCACAGATGCCTTCTGTGCTGAGCATGATCCTTCAACAACTTTAGCCCTGATTCCTTCATAACTGCTAATAAGTGAGTGGTACCATATACTGTTTGCAAAAATGGTGAACACTGCGAGTATTAGGGAACTACTCCTGGCTGTGTCCTGGAGACTTCAAAGCATTTCTTAGTTGGAAGCATTACACATTCACTTTGTTCTGCTTGGAATCTGATCTCAGTGGGAACCAGAATGTCCCGTATTTCTCACTAGTCACCCAGTTTTCATTTGCAGCTCAAACAATTAGAAACAAATGTCTGGAACAGGTTATTTTCTTCTAAAGAGAAATATAGCAACACCAGGACTACCTGCTCTGTCCTTACCCTCCATGCCCAGGAGACGAATTCAGTTCTGAGCTCTCCCAGGAGAATATGTTTGCTGTAAGGGAGGTCAGAATTGTGTACGTTCGGAATCGCCTTGATAAAACCACCCAGACTCAGGTCAGCCTCATTCCGTGTTCATTCTGACTCTGCTCAGGGAGTTGGACCAATGACTGTGGTTTCTACAGCCTGACTCAAATTCAATGGACTGGGCAGAATTCTGTTTCCTCTGAGCTGTGTGAGTCCTTTCATATGCCCCAAAGTCTTTTTTTTTCACATACACGTTCCGCTCCTCTCCTATGGAAGGAATGAACCATATCTCACCTCTTCCCAGGAGTCCTACTCAACACTAGCTATTTCACCCATTTCAGGATTATTTCTGCCTCCTTAGATGGAGGATGCCTTAACCTTAAATTAAAAAAAAAAAATGAGTTACTTACTTGGTTCCACAGTCACACGGGTTCCTTTTCCAAAGATGAGTTTATCTGTGTGTCACAGCACTTGAGGGCGTTCCAAAAACCTCAGCGCTGCTCCCACCTGCTTTCTTCCCATTAGCTTTAGGACTGGAGGATCTTTAAGCCTCCGCTCCTTGAAAGATGGCACTTGTTGCTTATCCAACTGGTTCACAGGTGACATTATCATCTGCAGGTAGGGACTGGTTTGCTTTCGGAAGGCAGTAGTCTGAGGAGTATGCAGGAGTGTATTTCCCATGGCAGACCTTTCCAGCACAGTACACTTGATGCAGTGCTCTCAACTGTTGCTTCCTATTGTTTTAGATTGTTCTCACTTCCTAGACCCGTACTCAGCTCTCCCTGTTGGAAAGCTGGCACTGTCAAAGGGGTGGGTCTTGGCTCCATGACTACTCCAGGGTTAAGCCCTTTACAGCCACCATTGCTGCTTTAAAGGCAGATAAGCAAGAGGAGACAGGGCAGCATGAAGCACTGGGTGATTTACAGAGCAGTCAGCTTTAGAATGAGCCACTGTGGCTGGTGATTGCTTACAAACAAATCAATCTCTCTTCAAATCCATCTTCCCAAACTGCAAAGCAAAGCACTTGGGTAAATCTCTCTAGGGATTTGAATTTAGAAATTCCATATCAGGTGGCTCATATAACTTTCTTTTGCAATAGAATTGACATGAAAGCAAGGTAAGAATAGTTTTTAAGGACTACCTTTTCGTATTCCCCAAATGTGCTGTAAGAAAATGTAGAAATGCCAGTATCACCCAAGGGAGAACAGCAGTGAGTGAGAGGTCAGCAGCTGTGGTCATCTCCCTGGTCCAGTCAACTTCCTGCTATCTCTTCCAGGCCCCAGAGCAAGAGGGTAGCTGCTTGCTATGTTTGTCTCCCGAGGCATGGGACCCAGGCTGAGGATATCCCAGGGAAATGGCACTTTTGCCCCTGCAGTTTTTGTACAGGTCTCTGTGGGTTATGTAGCACTGTGCGTATCCCCCCAATCACAGTGCTACAGAGCTTTACAAAAACTTCCCTTCGGTTTCACACTATACAGCCCCTGAGAGTTTCCAGAACCAGATGTTTTCTCGAAGTCAAGTTTCGTCAAGATCAAAGGGTTCTGACAGTTAGGTTATGCCAAGCTGTCTCAGGTGCTCCAATCTGGGGCTCTTCTGCTCCACTGGCTAGATCTGCCTTGGGGTTTGTGACTAGAATGGACTTTTAGAAATCATCACGTCCACACCCACCTGTGCTTTCTGGCCAATCTGCTCTCAAATGGTTTCACACTGAGGAGTCTGTCAGGTACTTAAATCTCACGGAGATTCACGTGCTGTGGGTGAGGCAGAAAATGATTGTGGTCAGTGTAATTTCTCCTGTCAGCTGCTAAGCTTCTGAATCACCTCTTCCTGCCCTGCCTTACACTTGAATAGTGTTTTACAGTTTACAGAGGGTTTTCATGTAAATTTAAAATTTTGTCCTCTCCATTGACCTCCTCCTAGTTGCTAAATTCAGGCCAGTAGCCCATATGGTACTTTGTGTGATTTAGAAAGGGCGGCCCTGCTGGGTGAATGCAGACTTAGCCCCCTGGGCTCAAGCTTGGTGAATGGATTGCACTTTTGTGTGGTTTATAAAAGGCCTTCTCTTTCTGGAAGATGCAGCCCCACATCAGGGCCTTGGCTGGTGGCAGAGCACACATTGAATGTGAGCCCCACTTTTCTCTGCCAGGTGCCCTTGTGAAGGCACAACCTGTGCAATCAGAGGCAGCAGCTCTGGCCAAACTGAACAGATGATTTTCAGTGTTAATCTCGTTTGACCTCTGGGTTTTGACCCAGTCATTGCCTTCTCAAAACCTCTCCTCAGGGCTCACAGGACACTGGTCTTGTTTGCCTTTGACCTCTGTTTTAGTGCTGTCAAAACAAAGCAATATGATAGGCTCATCGGAAGTGACCTTATGAAATGTTAACCATGAAAGTGGAGTATGAAGTTTGTTGTTGTAGCTATTTAACAGCAGGGAGCAGGAATTTAAAAAGGTAACCTTCACACTTTCCCTGGAGGTCTTATCCAAATCCATGCTTTGATTTAATTATGACTATTTTACCTATGACCTTTGTGATGACTTTTCACCCCACATACAGCTTCATGCCTGCCCCATAAACTCCAAGCAATGTTATCTCTGTATACAAAGTCTAACATTCTTTTGCTCATTAGAAAAAAAGCAAATAGGAAAGGAGGAAAAATAAGAAATGTATGGCCTCAATAATAGACAATGTAATGGGATAGCATAGAACAAAAGGCCTCATGAGGAGAACCAGATAAGAATAAAAAACTAGGCCCGGCGTGGTGGCTCACGCCTGTAATCCCAGCACTTTGGGAGGCCGAGGTGGGTGGATCACGAGGTCAAGTGATCGAGACCATCCTGGTCAACATGGTGAAACCCTGTCTCTACTAGAAATACAAAAAATTAGCTGGACATGGTGGTGCGTGCCTGTAGTCCCAGCTACTCAGGAGGCTGAGGCAGGAGAATTGCCTGAACCCAGGAGGCGGAGGTTGCGGTGAGCTGAGATCACGCCATTGCACTCCAGCCTGGGTAACAAGAGCAAAACTCCATCTCAAAAAAAAAAAAAAAAAAAAAAAAAAGAATAAAAAACTGTAACCTGGACTCTTGAGTGTAGCTGCCTTAGGTACTAGTCTTTAAAATGGCGAGAGGTAGCTGATTGTTGAACTAAGCTTCTGACTCACCCATATGAGCCTCATTGAGCTCCTTCTAGTGCTGGTGACCTTCCGAAGAAGCAGCCATCAGAAACTGGTGTGAAGAGAATTAGAGGAAACAAAAAGTTGGGAATCCTGATGAGAATGCAGCTTCCCGGCTCTTCACTTCCTCCCTGTGATAGACATGTACCTCCAGGTTCTGCCACGTGACTTTGCAGGGCTTCCTACTATGGGCTCTATTGACATTGGGGCTTCATCATGCTTTGATTCATAGAATATGAGTAGAAGTGCCAGTGTGCCAGTTCTAAGCTGAGGCTTCAAGACACATCAAATCATGGGTTTCCACTAGCACTCTTTTTTTTTTCCAGACAGAGTCTCACTCTGTTACCCAGGCTGGAGTGCAGTGCCATGATCTTGGCTCACTGCAACCTCCTCCTCCTGGGTTCAAGTAGCTGGGATTACAGGCATGCACCACCATTGCACCTGGGCAATTTTTGCATTTTAAATAGAGACAGGGTTTCATCATGTTGGTCAGGCTGTTCTTGAACTTCTGACTTTGTGATCCACCCACCTCAGCCTCCCAAAGTGCTGGCATTACAGGCACGAGCCACTGTGTCTGGCCTCCACCAGCACTGTTTAGCCTCTGTCCTTTGAGAATAAAAGAGTGTTCTCCAGGGAGTCATTGCTGCTTGACCCTGAGCCCTAGAATGAAGACACACAGAACAGACCTAAATCCAGCTCATGTCTTAGAGCCAAGTCCAGCGGGCCCACAGACCAGTGAGCAAAAGTGATACATGTTTGTTACTGTAAGCAATTGAAATTTGGGGATTGTTTCTTATAGATCATAATTATAACAGAAATAGCTGATTAATACAGATGGTGGGTCTTGGGATGCTTTTAACTCTATATGTCCAGCAATTATGAAATGGCATACATAAAATTTTTGGTGGCTTCCTGTTATCCTCAGGACAAAACAGTATAAAACACAAGACCTTAGCTTACTTCCTCCCTTAAACACGGTTGCATTGAAGTATTTACTTCCTGAAAGCTCCATGTTCTTTCGTATTTCTTTGCTTGCAATGCCGTTTCCTTCTCTCATCCCACAATTGATCCCTAACCCTTCTCCTTAAATCCTCTGCATTTTCAGTGTCTTAGCTTAGTTGTTGCCTTACCTGGGAATTCGTAAATGACTGTCCCAAACTGATCTGGTTTAAGTGCTCACCCTTCTCAGAATTTTCATGGCATCCAGTACTTACCTCTATCTTTGCACTCAAAACCCTTTTTCACTTTTCTTCATTAGGTCGAGATCCTTGAGAGAAGTGATCTGTCTTGTTCATCCCTGTATACCATGTGCCAGCACAGAGCCGGACCCAGTGAGTGCTCAAAAAACGCCTTCTGAATCTATTTCAAGGACAAGGGGGGTTTCAGGTTCCGGGAAGATAAGCAAAGTGACAGAGCCATGGCCAGATCCTCCCAACTTCCAGGCTCTTGCTCACTGCCTGGAGCCAGGCTGCCTTACGGAATACTACCTTACATTTGTTTAGTGGTACACAGCACCATTCCTTAGAAACACATTGATTTTTAACATTAGTCTGAGTTAAACATGGTTGAGAAGTTTAATTTGTTGTGATTTTCTCCATATCATTTAACATATTCTAAAGCCATATAGAAATGAGTTTCACATCATCTACCTATTTGGAGTATTCTAGTCATGCTCTCTTCCACTAAAATGGGTAATCAAAGATCAATTGCACCTCTGGAGAGGAATCCTCAAATGCCACAGCTAGGAGACATTTCAAAGATCATATATTCACTCTCCTGGGTTTTCAGATGAGAGAGTCTAGAAAGATCCAGAGAGGTTTCACAACTTGGCCAAGACACCCAATTTCAAAAGGACATACAAGGAATCAGGTATCTATATCCCAGTGCAGTGATCTTTTTGGTACACTAGGCAAATGTCTTCTTTGGTCTTTCATTCTGGCGTTTTGGTTTGAGAATGTTTCAGCCTCTCAGCTGGTCCCCTTCCCTGGAATGGTCATAGGATAGTCTGGACAACCTGGCCCTTTCTCTGTGTAGATTTTAATTGTTATGTGAGATGCTCTTCTGCAGGAAAGGGTAAGAGCAGGTGCAAGGTAGATGAATATTGAAGTTCAACTCTTCCTGGAAGGAGCCTGTGTCATGTTCTTTTTGCCAGGCAAACTCATTTTCAGAGGAAAGGGACAGTTTTAGATGCTAGATTTACTGTGGTATTGTCAAGTTTTGGCTGGATTGAGGCTTCATGCTTGGGAGCAAATTTATGGAATATCAAGCCAAGAAATGAAATAAGGAT